GTCTTTATTTCTGGCCCCTTACAAGGCCAGGACAACCCCAAATGCAGATTCGGTGATGGATATCCAGATACCGTTAATCATTTTGTGTCACCTCGCCCGGTATTAGCATTCAACAAATATAAATTACAGTATGACAGTGTAGGTCAATATCTGCAGGGGGAAATTTGCAACTTTTATGGGAAGAAAGCTACAAAATATTTGTAGAAACACCACCCTAGCCCGGTTACAGACATAGGACCTGTTACAGTTTTATGGGACTTCACAATACAGACAGAGAGAACAATGAAAACTAATCGCCCAGACATAGTGATCAAAGCGTACAAATACATTTGCCCCCTGTCTAACACCTTCGCCCCGGCTCCTCAACCTTCGGCATCTTACTCTCGGGGTTGAGGTGTCTACTCGGTCCTAACCGAACTTAAGGGAGTGGCCGTAGGTCCCCTGAGCATCCGTAGATTATTCGACCGGTCCGCTGGTTTAATCCTGCTTCCTGTCCACGTTGTGTTTGGTTTGATCCAGAAAGCAGAATTGATGTTCATCCATTCAAGGTCGACTGAAGATGTAGACACGGCTTGGGAGTCTGCGCTGAGAAATTTAGAATGCAGCCATATATATATATATATATATATATATATACAGAAAGCCGGACAAACATTGATTCAATGGTTGAATTGTTAATGTCTTTTATATAGTGAAAGAATAGTAGAGAAGAGAAACAGGTTACAGAAAAGAAAAGTAAAAAAAAAAATTTTAGAAAGAGAATTTTTAGAGAGAGAGAGAGGGGGAGAGTTGTGATTATCTTCTTGTTAAATCCTCTCAGAACGATATATGACTCTTGCGATGGAGGGATAAAGATTTCTGTGCGGGGCTTAAATTTATAGTGGCGTTCCTCCTCCCAACGCTTGCCCGGGCCAATTCTCTCTTCTCTCTTCAAGAATTTACTCCAGTCTGTCTTTCTTTGCATAACTACGCGTTTATATAGATAAACCCGGCTGATTATAACTGAGCCTCGGCCTTACTACTTCTCACGCGACTATCACGGGGTTCTGGCTGCTTCAACCAAAATCATGTGAATTCCAAAGTTCCTTCTAACTTACTCAGCTCTATTTCAATTTTTAATCGATAAAAATTATTTCGGCCATTTCCATTGTCAACTGATGAACCAGATTCAATGGGTACTACTTCTGCCCTAGATCAGATTTCCCCATCAGTATAGAAAATGCTCTGATTTAATTTCGCTATTCAAATCTACTCCAATTTCACTAATATATATATATATATATTTATATATACGTGTGTGTGTTTACCAGACTCTCTCTCTCTCTCTCTCTCTGTCACATCTGGTCAATAAGGCAGATCCTGCTGACCGCCGTGTAGATTTGAAAATCTTCTAAAACTATCAAAATACAAAGATCTTGAACTGGAAATTTGAAGAACGTGGCTAGAGTTAACGTTAATCCAACAGAGCAGAAAGATGTATCTTGAAGAACTATTTTTTTTCAAACTGTTTTTCCATATGACTATCGAAATATAATTCCAGAACATGAATATCAATTTCTTTTTTAAGTTCCAACATTTAAGGGGGGGTATATAAATTCATTATAAATAGATCTTCTTCCGACGAAAGCCAAAAGAAAAAAATGCCCATGCTACGCTATAACGCATACTCTATCTTACAAAAAGGTCAAATTAAAATTAAAAATATATCATTTAAATTCTATTCTTACTTGAACTTTTTCCTGTACTGCGTTAAAATAAAACTTAATTTCGCATAATTAAAAAAAAGTCATCTTTTCAGACACGGACGATATAAACACGTCCAAAATCACACAGATACTTAAAGCTGCCTAAGTTTCTTAGTAACTATATTGAAAACATATACAAAAATTCGTCATTGGCGGCGAAGGGGTTAAAGCATAATTGAAAGAAGGGTCTGCAATATAATCGATCCTGATCTGGCATCTCGACATCAGTCACTTTCTCACCGACGTGACGTGTCTTCCCTCTGTCTTTTCTACAAATATCTTCATGGCATCTTCTCTGATGTGCTTTTTTCCCGATCGTCTCGACTTCATAAATTTAAACGTGCTGCTAGATTGGCAGATAGGTCTCAAAGTTTTTACTGTTGAACTAGCTAGCTGCAACCGGACATTTCTAGTCTAACAGCTTCTTCTCTCACACTTCTCACCTGTGGAACTTCATTTCGGTTTTTGGCTCCCCTGCCACCTACAATTGTCAAACATTTAAATACAATATCAATCGCCATCTTCTGTCTTCCTGGAGACTTTTCCTTTGCTGTCTTTTCCCCATTTCTTTTCATTAAAATCTTTTCATTACCTTTTACTCTCTGTAACCCCCCTGCGTCCGTGTGACCTCTTGCTTGGGGTGAAATGATAAAAAAAATACTTGCCCTTTCCAGTTATTCATAATTATTTCTTTTACTATTTTTTGTTTTGTTTAAAATTATCAATTTAAAATTAAATTATACTAGCAGACATACCCGCTAGTTGATCAGAAAAAGCGTTCAATTAGAATGGAGCAAAAACAGCATCAAGTTTAGATGTAACAGAGTCTATCTTCTTCAATTACTTTAAAGTACTTTCATTAAAAAAACATTATGAATTAATTTAGTTACTGATATAACAGAAGTCGTCTGTATTTATTCAATCGAAGTTAGCCGAGGACATGAAGGGGTAAAACAGTCAACATGAAGACCCACTTCAGACCAGAATTATTTTGGAGTTTTTGAAATTCAATTTGTCAGTGTGCTACCAGGGATGTAAAAGAGGATACATTTATAAGGCAATTGTTAAGTTTGATGAAAACTGGTTGAAAGATCAACGAAAAATAATAAGAAAAAAACCCAGTAAAAATCGCCATTTTTCGCGATTTATGCAAGTTTTCATTATATGGATGAACTCAAATATCAAGTTAAATGACTGTCAAGCAATCAACTTAATGTTGGCTACAATTGAGTGAATTTTGTATTAAGATTGCTTGAAAATTGAGGGTGTTTTTAGTTTAAAATTTATGTTGGAATCGATTTGTGTTGAAGTCAATTTGTATTGAAATCGATTTCTTGTTTTTCGCGGTTTTTCGCTAAACGCAGTGGCGCAGAAATAAAAATGAGATATCGTTGAGCTCGTCATGATGTAAGTAGCCGACATACCGAGTTTGAACGAAATTTTCTACAAAAATTAAATACATAGTAACTATAAGCAAGATGAATCTCCACTTAAAAACATCATAAAGAAATACACATTCCGGATGACAAAAACAAGAAAATTAATTATTACAAATAAATAAATAAATAAAAAACCCCAAAAACCGCTAACCCCATCGTCAAAAATAACAACTTACCTGAAAGATCTACTTTACAAAGAACCAATATTATTTACGAATATACATGTCCCTTAAGGAGTTGTGTTCCTGAACAATACAAATTTATAAATAATTATATTGGATATACTACAACATGCTTAACAAGAAGACTCACATTACATCTCTCTAATCATACTTCAATTAGGTTTCATTTAAATACACTAGGAGATCTCCCAAACTTTATTTGTAACAAACTCGTTGATAATTCAAATATAATAGCCTCATCTACATGTAAAAAAGGCTAAATATACTAGATATATTATTAATAAAAAGAAAGAGCCAACACACAATTATACCAACTATGAACATGGCCCCAATGTGCTGACCATGTTTGAAAAGTAAAAACATTCCTATAACTCTAGATACATATCTAAAACAGTCCGTATCTTCAGTTAAATGTAAAATAAAATTTATCTTTGATAATGGCTAAAAGTACAGCTGAAGACGATTTGTTATATAAAATATTTGGATAATTTTTATGTAATTTATGAGCTGTAAAGAAAAGTTATAGGAACACATCAAAAATTATATATAAAAAACAAAAAAAACCCACCACACCTTGTCAATCGTTTTCAAGGAAACTTACATAAAAGAGGGATTGCTGCCCAAATACGCATTTTTTTCTTTTTTCTCTACTTCCTTCTTTGCTTCTTTTTCCTTTTCTTCTTTATTTCTCTTCTTTCTTTTCTTCTTTTTCTTCCTTTCTTTTCTCTATTTTCTTCTTTTTCTCTTTCCTTTCCTTCTTTTTTCTTATAATAAAAATTCTAATTATATTTATCTAATAAACTATATAAATAATTATAAACGCATTAATATATATATATATATATATATATATATATATACACGTTTTCTTTTTTTTCTCTCCTTTTCGTCTTCTTTTTCCTGTTTATTTTCCCACTTTTTCCTCTTCTTTTTTCCTCTCTTTTCTTTACCTCTTTGTTCTTTCTTCATAATAATAATCTATATAAATAATATTGTTAATAATGAACACATTAAAAACAAATAAGTTTACTTTTTTATTTTATTAAATTTGTTGACAACTTTAATTGGAAAGTTTTGTTGGCTGAAGCGTCGCAAATGCTTTGATATTTCGCTGGAATTTAGTGAAATTAAATCCTAAGTCATAACGATTTAGTTATCGACACCCGCTCTTTCGTCACCTCAGTCATTTGTTGTAATTTACTACATTGGGAACCCCTGTTATTAAAAGACACTCCATTTTACCGGAAGTGACCGAGACATCCAGGTACCCATAACAGCATTACGTCACTAAGGAACCGGAAATAGAAATAGCAGCCGATTACATCATCACTCTAAATTTATCAAAGAATGTTTATAAAATGGATGGAATATTTTTTTGTTTTTTGTTTTCGAGGAGCAAAAACTGCGTAAAAAGAAGGGCTTTTGTGTATATTGAAATATCGCGCGCGGGTTCGAGTCGTGTTTTCCTTGTTTTGGTGCTGATTAAGTGAAATTAAGTATAGAAGATGTATATTTAAGAGAAAATGAATCTTTGTTCATTCACTGAGCCTGGATTCAAACTGTGTGGGGTCTGCTTTTATTTTAAGTAAGGACATATATTGATTATTGATTTTTCGATGATTTTGACAGGATTCATGTTTTCATTCTTGCTCTTTTTATTTCTATTTCTTACTCTCTCACACATTCTCTCTTTCCTATTCTTTTATTTTTTCTATTTCTCTCTCTCTTTCTCTCTCTTGTTCTTTCTTTCTCACTATTTCTTGCTCACACTCACTCTTTGTTTCTTTTTTTCTTTTTTCTTTCTGTCTATTCATTTCCTTCTTTTTTCTTTATTTCACTCTCTTCCTTGCTTTTCTTTCTCTCATTTTCTTATTCTCTTTCTCTCTCTCTTTGCTGCTCTCTTTTCTTTCTCTTTCTTGTACTCTCTCTCTCTCTCTCGCTCTCTTTCTCTCGATTTTACTCCTCTCTCTTTCTTGTTCTCTTTCACTCTCTTTCTTGGAGTCTCTTTTCTCTCTCTATTTTTGTACCCTTTCTCTCTCGCTTTCTTTCACTCCTCTTTCTCTCTCTAGCTTTCTTCCTCTCTCTCTCTCTCTCCCTTTCTTGCTTTCTTTCGTTCGCTCTTTCGTTCTCTTTCGTACTCTCTCTCTCTTACTCTTTTACACATTCTCTTGTTTTTACTCATTCTCTTTCTTTCTTTCTTTCTTTCTTTCTTTCTTTCTTTCTTTCTTGCTCATTTTTATTCTTTCTCTCTCTCTCTTCTTCCTCTATCTCTCTCTTTTCTTTCTCTCTCTTTCTTATTGTCTTTCTCTTTCTTGCTCACTTTCTCTCTATTTCTTGTCCTCTGTCTTTCTAGTTTTCTTTCTTTGTCCTTCTCCCTCTCTCTTATTCATTCTTTTACTCTTTCTGTCTTTCTTACTCTTCCTGTCTCAAACATATTATATATAATATATATATATATATATATATATATATATGTATATATATATATATATATATATATATATATATATATATATATATATATATATATATATATATATATATATATATATATATATATATATATATATATATATATATATATATATATATATATATATATATATATATATATATATATATATATATATATATATATATATATATATATATATATATATATATATATATATATATATATATATATATATATATATATATATTTATATATATATATATTTTCTCGATATTATATATATGTATATATATATTTATTATATATGTATATATATATATATATATATATTTTATATATATATATATATATATATATATATATATATATGTTATTTTTCTATATATATGTGTATGTGTGTGTGTGTGTGTGTGTGTGTGTGTGTGTGTGTGTGTGTGTGTGTGTGTGTGTGTGTGTGTGTGTGTGTGTGTGTGTGTGTGTGTGTGTGTGTGTGTGTGTGTGTGTGTGTGTGTGTGTATATATATATATATGTATATATATATATATATATACGTATATATATATATATATATTTATATATGTTATATATACATATATATATATATATATATATATTTATATATATATATATATATTTATATATATATATATATATGTGTAAATATTATATCCTTCTTTCCCCTTTTATTTATTCACTTTTCGATCTTTTTCTCTCTTACCATTTTCATGTTTGCTTTCTTTCTTTGTTGAAATATTTTCCTTCTTGAGTTTTCTTTTTCTTTCACTGTTTCCTTTCTCTTTCTCTCTGTCTCTCTCTCTCTCTCTCTCTCTCTCTATCTATATATATATATATATATATATATATATATATATGCTTTTTCCTTCTTTGGACTCCTTGCGGATAAACCAGGTTTCGTACACACGGGCAATGCTTGTAAATGCGTCTTAATAATCTTAATAACAGATGCGGTCTCCTGTATTGATTACATAATGTCGAATTTTATGATAGATTTGAACGACTTCATTCACCATAATGTGTGATATTCACAGAACAACGTAACCTCGCCTCGGGCTTTCAATAACAAAAACAAATGCATTTAGAAATGAATTCGGCGAAGAACGAGGCTGGAATAATGAGTTCTTTGTTTCTCTAACTTCACAAAAATTCCTGGAAACGAAATTGAGAAATTCACAGATGGTTATGATTCCCTTAAAAAGCCCGTACCCTTTTCGAAAACGTTCTCCAAGGTTAGATTTTGGATCGTCTTTCGACTAATTCTCCTACTAAAGATCATGAAAATGTCCTTGACTCTTTGCCTGTCCTGCTCATCATACGTGGTGCTGGGGGCATGTGATTTCCACGTCCGTGCATCTTATGTGATGCCCACGAGACATGATTTTAAAAGAATGGTAAAACTAAGGATGCTTAAGAAAAGAGTCTATTACTGAACAAGACATCATAGAAAAGGCGTAATCTAATATTTTGAGCATCATATATAACCACAGAATGTTTGATTGATAATCTAAGGTCTCAAATGAAAGATATCTATTTTCCAATTTATTGAAATGCTTGAAATCTTTGCATGGCATGTGATTCACAGAGTGTAGTGTAAATAACTCATGATTTGTACGTCACATTTGATTCAAAAGTTTTTATTATGTGAAAAATTATATATCAGAACATTCTATTTTCCAAAGAATCTATTCAGTTTTGAATAGGCATAATCAAGACCTCATCAACTGAAAGATAAAGCCATAATGTCAATATGCAGCCAGCTATTCGACTTAGCTGAGAGGAAGAAGACAACCTTTCACAAATGTCATAAAGTCGTTACTAAAATAAGGTGTGTTGACTAATGAACAATATGAAACTTAAACATTATATATATATATATATATATATATATATATATATATATATATATATATATGTACCGTCACATTTTATTTAACTTCTAGCTTCGTTAATTTTTTACAGGTTATCAATCCTTTTCTGGTTTATTTAGTCCTTTGCCTGTCCTGTGAATGACAAGTGGTGCAGAGACCATGTGATTTCCACGTCCGTGCATCCAACGTGTTGTCAACGAGCCATGATTTTAAAACAGTCTAAGGGCGCTTGAGAAAAGAATCTCATATTGATCAGATCGTCGGAGGGAAAGCCTAATCGTATTTTGGGCATCATATATGACCACAAGACGCTTGGCCGATAATCTAAGGTCTTAAATGAAAGTCATCTATTTTTCCACTTTATTTAAATAATTATAATCTGTGATGCAATGCACAGAGCTGAGAGTAAATAGCTTATGAATTATACGTTCTGTGAATCACATTTGATGCAAAGGTTTTTATTATGTGAAACACTATATATCAGGATATTCTATTTGCCAAATAAGCTGAGTTGCCTTTTGATATTTATAAATCAGAAAACAAACATCAACGTTTGGATCATTACACAAAATTCCCTGGACAGGCAAGGGGTTAAATAGCAGGATAGACAGGGCTCTTTAGTTGTGTTTTGCGACCAGTATCGACGAACAACTGTTACCTTAAAACCATATGAGGCCCTAATGGCACATTGAACTGTGACTAAAATCTGGTCAGCATAGTATGCTACAGGTTGTGGGTGTTGAAGAAGTAATTAGCTTTGAGCAGATAGACATATTCAGAAACGAGCAGTCATGCTGAAGATGAGAATTCACACTGATTTACAGTCGAAACATGATATAGATATGAAAATATCTATATATGTCCAACTTGTTTAGTTTCGTACTCTTTGTACCAGGTCATTCCCGGACTACAAGACGCTTGACTGATAAATTAAGGTCTCAAATGAACGTCATCTATTTTCCACTTTATTGAACCGATTATAACATTTGCATTACATGTGATCCACAGAGCTGAGTATAAATAGCTTATGAATTATACGTTCTGTGAATCACATTTGATGCAAAGGTTTTTATTATGTGAAACACTATATATCAGGATATTCTATTTGCCAAATAAGCTGAGTTGCCTTGCAATATTTATAAATCTGAAAACAAACATCAACGTTTGGATCGTACACACGAAAATGCCCTGGACAGGTAAAGGGTTAAACAGAATTAGATAAGCGCTGAAATACTTATTATAACATACAATCTCCTATATGGCATTCAATATGGATGGTGGTTGCTATTTAAAGAAGTAAGGGGGTACAAATAAAAAAAATGAAATTGAAAACTTTTTCAATTCCCTGAAACATGTGTTAAACACTTCGATCTTCCCCGCCCCTATTTTTCCTTCCTGTTTTCTTTTTGTTGTGTCGTAAATAGGAAAATTGAACAGACATATATAAAGTAAGAAGCAGCTTATTCCGGAGAGTAATATGGCACACGGTCGAGAAGACAGAATGATGTAATAAACGGTTGATCGTTAACTCCTTGGAATTTAGTCAAGACTTCTCCACAAGTCAGGATGTGACACAAGACCGGTTTTAAACGTGGGGCTATTCCGAGCGCATACGCTCGGGCGTAAAATTCCCCGCATATACGGGCCATGCAGACCAAAGACGAGACTCTTGCCCGTACGCATAGCCTCATCTGGGTTCCCCACTGCTTTCGGGCAGAGAGGTCGATCAGCCAAGCTTTATTGAAATCTAATTATTAACTGTTCTCCCTCAGTAAGAGACAGTGCTGTTTAAATAGTCTTAAATCAGTCCATCTTCTGGAGGTGTTCAGCTATTCCATAACACTTTTCTCGCTGAAACCAGATATATCATTTCCATTTTTTTTCACGCTATCAAAACGGAATAGTCGATTATTTATGAGGTATTAGAATGAGTGGTTAAAACTACTTTCGCTTCTTTCGTTCCTTCATTTTATCACTGAAACCAAGTAGCGTTTCTGATATGTTTTTTTTTCCTGTCTTTCGATGAGATTAAAATGGAATAGTCCATTATTTATAAATAATATATTCAAGAATTCCAATAATTCTATTGATTCTGTCTATATTTCTGAGATGAGGTATGATTTACATTATTCGGACTATTGTCCGAATCTTTGTACGCTCCGGCCTTCTTCAGGTGGTTGGAATGTCGAACTGAACCCTTTATTTCGCTCACTGGGGTAGACTGTTCTAGTTCCACGTGCCATGTCTAATGAATGTCAGCTATCAGTTATCTCCTGTTAACTCCCCTCTGAAAGTTCTCCACCACCTTAACCGGGTATTGAACTCACACTCTTTGGGTCCTGGTACTGGATCTAACCAACGCCTTTATCCATGTGTCCTTGAAGACATCTGGGTATGAATTTCTGGGTATTATAAACCCTTCAGCAACCATTTTTACCAGTGCTCATATTGCAATTTTTTGCTGTTATCATTGCATGTTTTATTTGTTTCCTGATACAATGAAATGTCTATCTATCTTAGTGTGTTCATATCTATCTATCTATCTATCTATCTATCTATCTATCTATCTCAGTCTGTTCGTATTTATCTATCTATCTCTGTTCGTATCTATCTATCTATCTATCTATCTATCTATCTATCTATCTATCTATCTATCTATTTCAGTCTTTTCGTATCTATCTATCTATCTATCTCAGTCTGTTCGTATCTATCTATCTATCTATCTATCTATCTATCTATCTATCTATCTCAGTCTGTTCGTATTTATCTATCTATCTATCTATCTATCTCAGTCTGTTCGTATCTATCTATCTATCTCTGTTCGTATCTATCTATCTATCTATCTATCTATCTATCTATCTATCTCAGTCTGTTCGTATTTATCTATCTATCTCTGTTCGTTATCTATCTATCTATCTATCTATCTATCTATCTATCTATCTATCTATCTATTTCAGTCTTTTCGTATCTATCTATCTATCTATCTCAGTCTGTTCGTATCTATCTATCTATCTATCTATCTATCTATCTATCTATCTATCTATCTCAGTCTGTTCGTATTTATCTATCTATCTATCTATCTATCTCAGTCTGTTCGTATCTATCTATCTATCTCTGTTCGTATCTATCTATCTATCTATCTATCTATCTATCTATCTATCTATCTATCTCAGTCTGTTCGTATTTATCTATCTATCTCTGTTCGTATCTATCTATCTATCTATCTATCTATCTATCTATCTATCTATCTATCTATCTATTTCAGTCTTTTCGTATCTATCTATCTATCTATCTCAGTCTGTTCGTATTTATCTATCTATCTATCTATCTATCTATCTATCTATCTCAGTCTGTTCGTATTTATCTATCTATCTATCTATCTATCTCAGTCTGTTCGTATTTATCTATCTATCTCTGTTCGTATCTATCTATCTATCTATCTATCTATCTATCTATCTATCTATTTATCTCAGTCTGTTCGTATCTATCTATCTATCTATCTATCTATCTATCTATCTTAGTCTGTTCGTATCTATCTATCTATCTATCTTGGTGTGTTCGTATCTATCTATCTATCTATCTATCTATCTATCTATCTATCTATTTCAGTCTTTTCGTATCTATCTATCTATCTATCTATCTATCTATCTATTTCAGTCTTTTCGTATCTATCTATCTATCTATCTATCTCAGTCTGTTCGTATCTTTCTATCTATTTATCTCAGTCTGTTCGTATCTATCTATCTATCTATCTATCTATCTATCTATCTATCTATCTATCTATCTATCTTAGTCTGTTCATATCTATCTATCTATCTATCTATCTTAGTGTGTTCATCTATCTATCTATCTATCTATCTATCTATCTATCTATCTATCTATCTATTTCAGTCTTTTCGTATCTATCTATCTATCTATCTATCTATCATCTATCTATCTATCTATCTATCTCCAGTCTGTTTCGTATCTATCTATCTCCAGTCTGTTCGTATCTATCTATCTATCTATCTATCTATCTATCTATCTATCTATCTATCTATCTATCTCAGTCTGTTCGTATCTATCTATCTATCTATCTATCTATCTATCTATCTATCTATCTCAATCTGTTTCGTATCTATCTATCTATCTATCTATCTATCTATCTATCTATCTATCTCTCAGTCTGTTCTATCTATCTATCTATCTATCTATCTATCTATCTATCTATCTATCTATCTATCTATCTATGTGTACTCTACTTAATTGCCACGTATGATTCGTATTTAGGACGATTCATTCACAATTATGATTGCTTCCCCGAAACGGAAATTACTTATCTTTCAGCCTATTAATTCTTACGTATAAATCAAGCGACCCGTTCATTTAATGTCGAATAGGTGGGTGGTGGGTATTACGATGAATAATGGGCTGCAGATCCGGTTTAAACGAGAGTGTAAAATGGGTTTTATTTACCCTAGAGTGTAAAGAAATAAAATTATACCCTTTGTGGGTATATTCGAGTTTGTTGGTCGAAAAGTACCCGCCTTTTTTGATGGGTAGAGGGGGTGGTCTTAACCCTTCGTAGGGGGGATAGTATTAGTCTTAACCCCTCAGTATGCGCACTCATCTTTAGGTTTTCACTGATCTGAGCATAGTCTTGTAAAGGAATATAATTGCAGAGCACCCAGTGAGGACTGTACTCACTACAGCCGTCATTCTCTGTAAACCCACTCTTCTAATAATAATTTCATATCGGAGCATTTTTATCTTTCACGATTCCGATTCGCAACTTTTATAAACTGATCCGACTGGACGTACATGATAAAAAAGAAAGAAAAAGATGTGTCGGAGAATGGAGATTGGTTAGTTGCCCAGTTGACTGGCCAGGCCTTTTGGAACAATCTTGCCAGGAAAAAAAAGAAACCCTTATGAATCATAACAGCCCACCCCAACCCGACTGCAAATAAATCCCCACCCGTATTGCCGCCATGAGTTTATGAATACCAATTTATGGCACCGAATACTATTTGATTCACTCTGAGAAATCCTAAGCTAATCCTAGATCGAATCGAATCGAATGCCACCATCCAACCTCGTAACCTGCCACAGTACATCTACCCCGCCATTAATCGGACGAAAAACTGGATCGCTAGCTACCTCGTCTTATCGTGTCGACAGATGGCAGACATTGAAATCGCAGCGGCAGGCGTTATTTTTGGCATTTGTATAAATAAAGGAACGAGGAGTGGGCGATTTTAGTCAAGAATCAGTCTGTAAGGCGGTTTGTTATTCATCAATAATTTAGTTCAAGTGTTGGGTGGGACAAAAATTTTAAACCCAAGTACTCCAATGTAGTACTTTAGACCATCTCAATTTTTTTTTTTACAGTGATATTCACCCAGTACAAGGCTCAGGAGCCACTTGAAGTAGAGGGTCACATTAAGAGGCAGTTTGCCCAGCATTTTAATTCATTCCCATCCCAGTCTGATTGGGGTATACGAGGCACATTCGTCAGATCCAAATCTGCGTGATATGGGGACAAGTTTGATAAAAGCAGCGCATAGTGGGGTCCAGTCAGAACTTCCTTCAGATCTGGTAAAGCAGTTCGCTCAGATGGTACCTGAATAAAATGTGTTCCCAAGTATCGACTCCCAAATCGCCTTAGTTGCCACATCCATCAAACTTTAAAAAAATCACCTCTTGGCATGCAGGAATTGCTCCTTCTAGATGAGATGCTGAGTACATCAGCCCCTAGAGGACATGCTCATCTTGTTTTGTTGTTTACAATTATTATTATTATAAGAAAATACTTTTGTTTATACAACAATTGAAATTATTTTTTTACGTTGCGGCTCACCCTGAACAAGGCCCGTGAGCCACTCGAGATAGAGGATTACATTAAGAGACAGCAGTTTGTCCTGATAGGTGAAGAAAATAACGGTTAACTTGAACAGGCTAAGAATGTAGTGATTAGGGAAGCATCCTCTTGGGAGTGAGTTTCAAAGAGCAGTGTTTTGTAGGAAGAAGCTGTTTGGAATTAACTTCTCATCAATGGAATATTAGTTGAATGTGGATGATTTGCTTCTTTTTTAAATCTCTGATTATATATAATTTTATGCCTTTATCTGGACCCCACTTTTTTAATACTTTATATATATATATATATATATATATATATATATATATATATATATATATATATATATATAAAACATTTATATACATTAAGACATTTATATACATTAAGACATTATATATATATATATATATATATATATATATATATATAAAGAAATATAGTCTTAAAAAGGTATGCTATATTTATGGAATAAAGTGCTCAATATCAGAGATAGAGCGTGTAAATATATAAAAGTGAACATAGAAGTCAACACTTAGGGGCGACAGTTTTGTTTCATATATATGCAATCGTTAGGCCTGACGATTGCATATAGCATGAAACAGACTTTTATCTATATATATATATATATATATATATATATATATATATATATATATAAAGCATTTTATGTTTATACATTCTTTTATAGATACAAATATTTAAATAAATGCTTTTTTTTTATATAATAAACAGTATTAATAACATTTACCGGCCTGAATGTCCGAGAAATTTTCATAGAAAATATTCTTCCTCCGACAGGAATCGAACCTGTATCCTATAAGGAACTGTCATATAGCCTGACGTGCCTTATATATATATATATATATATATATATATTATTTTTAAAAAACAGTGCTCTGTACAAAAGTTGTGCCTAAATTATATTGGTTTGGCCTCTTCCCGATGGTGACTGATATGTTGATACAAATTGTTAACCCTTACGCCCCCTATTGGACTGGTTGCTTCAGCCGTTTCCATAGTAATTAATTCTACGAATGAATCTGCTTAGAAAGATGCGTAAATTTCAAGAATGGTTATTCGAACAATTTCACTTAAGGATGAAACAGGGCTTGATACTTTAAATCAATTTAATTTTAATAATTATATTGAGGTTTTTCGCTCCGGATTTTGAAATATGAGAACTCTTATACAGCGAAGGAATCATATTTTAAAAAAATAAACATAATTATATATATGTATATATATATATGTATGACTATTGCGTCTAGCATGAAACAGCCTGTCGCCTCTAAGTGTTGACTTCAATGTTCACTTTTATATTTACACACGCTCTATCTCTGATATTGAGCACTTTATCCCACTTTATCCCATAAATATAACACACCTTAAGACTATATTTCTTCATATATATATATATATATATATATATATATATATATATATATATATACTTTTAAAATTGTGTTATATATTGAGATAGGCGTGAATATCAGAGATAGAAATCTATTATAGTTAAAAGAAATCAACAAAGTGATTTCATTTCATGTTGATTATGTTACCAGGTGGCCTGACGATTACGTCTATCATAAAAAAAGCCTGTCGCCTCTGAGTGTTGATTTCAATGTTCACCTATATATATATATATATATATATATATATATATACTGAAAGTCTGTCAATTTTATCCTTCCACTTTTTAAATTTTAAAAATTATATTGATGCAGAACATTTGAAAATATCTGTACAAAATTAAATTTAATACTATTATTCTATACAGCACACACACTTTCAGATCTTACTTCTGTACACCACACATACACACACACACTTTCGTATCATTTTTCTATGCACCACACACACAAACAAACGCACACTTTCATACGATTTTCATGGTAGCGCATAATGAGGCCCAGTCAGATCTATCTTCAGATCCTGTAAAGCATTTCACTCAGATGGTCTCTAAATGAAGGTGTTCCCATGTATCGACTCCCAAATCGACTTGGTTGCCACATCCATCAAACTTTAAAAAAGAATCATCTTTTGGCATGCAGCCATTGCTCCTTCTAGATGAGATGCACAGTACGTCAGTCCCTAGAGGACATGCTCCTCTTGTTTTGTTGTTTACAAATATCATTATTATTATTGTTATAAGAAAATAGTTTTCTTTATACAAGAATTGAAATTATTATTATTTTTTTACAATAAGGTTCACTCTGTACAAGGTTCTGGGGCTACTTGAGGTAGAGGGTTAAGTTAGGAGTCAGTTTGTCCAGATAGAAGAAAGTGACTGTTAACCCTAGACTTGAACAAGTTAAGATTGTAGTGATGGGGAAAGCATCCTCTAGGGAGTCACTTCCACAGAGCAATGGTTCGTGAGACGAAAGCTTTTCTAGTTCAAATTTCTCACAGATAGATTACGTCCTCTGTCAAAACACTTACCAAATATTTAAACTTCCGCACTTGCTTGATTTTAGGGTGCTTTCATTGTGTGTTTGCTTTCTTCCCGCCTTTCCTAGTCTCTTTGCTTAATTCCCGCCATTCCTCGCCGCTTTGCTCTTTTCCCGCCTTTCCTCGTGTCTTTGCTCTCTTCCCGCGTTTCTTAGTCTCTTTGCTCAATTCCCGCCATTCCTCACCGCTTTGCCCTCTTCCCGCCTTTCCTCGTGTCTTTGCTCTTCTCACGCCTTTCCTCGCCTCTTTGCTCCCCGCCATTCCACGCATCTTTGCTCCCTTCCCGCTTGTTCTTGTCTCTTGGCTCTCTTCCCGTCTTTCTTCACCTCTTTGCTTCCTTCGCACCTTTCCTGCAATTCTGGCTCATCTACTGATGACCATGCATTCTGTCTTCGTGTAGTTTATGCTTAGTCCCTTGCTCTCCTTCGCTACCTTCTGCAGGGATTTTGTAATTTCTTTTCCGTGTCTGCTATCAGCACTGTGTCATCTGCGTATACAAGACCTTAAAATTACCTCCAATGTAAAAGAATTACACACTCTTAGAGTTTGTATCTCCAATAGCACCAAGCAAAATGTCATTAATGAGATATAAACCCTTATAACCCACAATTAGAATTATTTGTTTATCTTTTAACTACTTCCCCGCGTTTCCAGGTCTCAATTTCTACTTTCCCGCGTCTCTAGGCTTCTTTCCCGGGTTTCTACGCCTCTTTGCTCATTTCCCGCGTTTTCTCGTCTCTTTGCTCATTTCCCGCGTTTTCTCATCTCTTTGCTCATTTCCCGCGTTTTCTCGTCTCTTTGCGGTCTTCCCGCCTTTCTTCGTCTCTTTGTTTCCTTCCTGCCTTTCCTTGTCTTTTTGCCTCCTGCCCCGTCTTTTCTTGTTTCTTTGCTCTCTTCCCGCCTTTATTCGTTTCTTGCGTCTCTTCCTGTCATTTCTTGCCTCTTTGCTCATTTCCCGCCATTCCTCGTCTCTTTGCTTTCTTCCCGCCTTTCCTCGTGTATTTACTTCCTTCCCGCTTTTCCTCATCACTTTGCTCTTTTCCCGCCTTTCCTTGTCTCTTAGCTCTCTTCCCGCCTTTCCTGACCTCTTTGCTCTTTTTGCGCCTTTCTTTAATCGTTTCTTGGCTCCCTTCCCGCCTTTCCTCGTCTCTTTGCTTCCTTCCCGCCTTTCCTTGTCTCTTGGCTCTCTTCTCGTCTTTCCTCACTTCTTTGCTCCCTTCCCACCTTTCCTCGTGTTTGCTTTCTTCCCGCATTTCCTATTCTCTTTGCTCAATTCCCGCCATTACTTGCCGCTTTGCACTATTCCAGATTTTCTCGTCTTTGCTCCCTTCCCGCATTTCCTCATCTCTTTGCTCCCCGCCATTCCTAACATCTTTGCTCCCTTCCTGCCGTTCCTTGTCTCTTTGCTCTCTACCCGCCTTTAATCGTTTCTTGCTCCCCACTTCTCGCTTTTCTTCGTCTCTTTACTTCCTTCTCACTTTTCTTTGTCTCTTTGCTCTCTTTACGCCTTTCCTCACCTCTTTGCTCCCCGCCACTCCTCGCATCTTTACTTCCTTCCCGCCTTTCCTTGTCTCTTTGCTTCCCGCCATTCCTCGCATATTTTCTTCCTTCTCGCCTTTCCTTGTCTCTTTGCTCTATTCCAGACTTTAATCATTTCTCGCCCCCCTTTCCGCCTTTCCTTATCTCTTTGCTCCCCGCCATTCCTAACATCTTTGCTTCCTTCCCGCCTTTCCTTGTCTCTTTGCTCTCTTCCCGCCTTTAATCGTTTCTTGCCTCTCTTCCCGCCTTTCCTTGTCTCTTGGCTCTCTTCCCGTCTTTCCTCACCTCTTTGCTTCCTTCCCACCTTTCCTCGTGTGTTTGCTTTCTTCCCGCCTTTCCTAGTTTCTTTGCTCAATTCCCGCCATTCCTCGCCGCTTTGCTCTCTTCCCGCCTTTCTTCGAGTCTTTGCTCTTCTCACGCCTTTCCTCGTGTCTTTGCTCTTCTCACGCCTTTCCTCGCCTCTTTGCTCCCTGCCATTTCACTCATCTTTGCTCCCTTCCCGCCTTTTCTTGTCTCTTTGCTCACTTCCCGCCTTTAGTCGTTTCTTGGCTCCCTTCCCGCCTTTCCTTGTCTCTTTGCCCTTTTCACGTCTCTATTTATCTCTTTGCTCTCTTCCCACCATTCCTTCTCTCTTTTTTTCTCTTCCCTCCTTCCCTCGTTACTTTCTCTTCCCACTTTTTGTAGTCTCTTTCCTCCCTTCCTCCCCTTTCACTGTATCTTTCTCTACTCCCATTTCTTTGCCTCTCTCTTTTCTTGCTTTTTTTTTTATACCTTTAGTTTTATGTCAAAAACCTGGAGCACTAAACTGTGGATTGAACACTTAACACTAATGAGTTGCTTCACAAGTCACGTGTGGTGGCCCACACGCTACGTTTGGTGTATACAGGGTATGTCACTGTACAAGTTTCAAGGGTGGAAAAGGCCAGAAACATTTCGAGGTCAAGCTTTTAAAATACGGCGGTCCCAACTCAGATATGTCTTCAGTTTTTTTATTGGTTATTCCTTTCATTTTTATTGGTATCTTTTTCTTTATTGTTTTATTCTCGTTAATCTCAGCCCCCCCCCCATTTACACGGGATGGTTCTTTTCTCTTTTGTTTTTCTGGTTGGTTTTATTTTAAATTTTTCTTTCGTTCATTTGTTTTTTTTTTTTTTCTTACTTTATTTTTCTTTCCAATGTTTTTAGCTGACTTATTTTCTTCTTTTTGGTTTTTGCCTATTTTTGCTTTTGCTTAATTTTTTCTATTTATTTTTTGCTGTTTAATTATTCAATTTTGCTATTTGATGTCCGACTTTTAGATCACAATGATTTCTCGTTCATTTTCTTTCTTTCTTTCTTTCTTTTGCTGTTTCTTTTTTTTCTCGTTTTTCTTTCTTTTTCTTTTTTTTTTCCATTCTGTCTTTTTTTTTCTTTCGGGCCCTTTTTCTTTTTTCCTTTCATTCTCTGTCCTTTTCTTTCCGTCTCTCTTTCTCTCGCTTTCTTTCTTTTTTTCTTTTCTTTCATTCTGTTTCTCTTTTAATTCTTTCGAGCACTTTTTCTTTCTTCCTTTCTTTCTGTCTCTGTTTCTTTTCTTTCTTTCTTTTCTTCTTTCTTTCTTTCTTTTCTTCTTTCTTTCTTTCTTTCTTTCTTTCTTTGTTCTTCCTTTCTTTCTTTTCGTTCATTATGTCTATCTTTTTTCTTTCGAGTCCGTTTTCTTTCTTCTATTCTTTCACTGTCTCTTTCTTTTTCCTTCCGTCTTTCTTTTATCTTTCTTTCTTTCTTTCTTTCTTTCTTTGCCTCTCTCTTTCTTTCTTTAATTTATTTTACTGTATCTTTTTTCCCTATCTCTTCCCTTTTCTTTCTTTCTCTTTTTTCTTTCGCTCTGTTTTTCTTTCTTTCTTCCTTTTTCATTCTTTAACTGTCTCTTTCTTTTTTTCACTGTCGTTTTCTTTCTTTTTTTATCACTCTCTCTTTCTTTCGCTTTTTTAATCTCTTTTTTCTTTCTATCTTTCTTCTTTTCTCTTTCTATCTCTCTTTTTTTTCCTTCCCTGTCTCTCTTTTTTTCTTTTTCTTTCTTTCTTTATCGCCCTCCCTTTTTCTTTTCTCTCTCTCTCTCTCTCTCTTCTCCATTTTTCTTCCTCTATCGTCTGCCTTCTCTGTTTCCCTGTCTCTCCTCCTTTCTTTTAACCGCCTCACTTTAGAACGACACACACATCCCTTTGTACTGTTCTCCTCGCTTGCTTTCGTCCACCAATAAAACTTACTATTACTGAAAGGACTTCATTGACTGCTTTCTTTTTGTTTACAAACACAACTCTCTTCAGAAAACAAACGACTCCTACCCATTTCTCTCTTTCCCGCCCAACCTTTCCACCTACATTATATATCGTCTTGTCCTACAATTTCTTTTCTACTAACTCCTTTCTTTAAACATCGCCAAGCCACATAAATGGAGGTCATTTATTGTCTTTTCTTACACTAATATCTGGATGATTGCCAGACTCCAGAGAACTTCTGCCAAGACTTGAGTCATTGCTGTCACTAAAAGTAAAGCAAAAGGCGATTCTATTAATAAACACTGACCAATCGACTAATGGAAATGGGCCAGAGATGGTTCAGGTGTAAATATATTCATTCATTTATGATTTTTCAAGAACAATGTTTGATTGACACCGTAGTGTTACCCGACCTTTTTTGGCAACGATCTGAAAAAAAAAAAAAGGTCACATATACACATTTGATATATAAAGTTCAATGTTTGTATATGTATCCATGAAAAAACTATAAAGATTAATAATTGAAACTGCGGTATTAATTTAAAGGCTATTTATATTCGGACTATTATCCTCATATTTGTTGTTTTTACTATGTTTCGGCCGCTGTGATCTCCGCCCTTTCGAAACGTAGCGATAACATCAAAGGTGAGGAAAATAGCCCGAATGTAAATAGTGTAAATAATGATAACTCCTCATCCCAGAAATTCAGGCAGGAGGTGATCAGATGTCAATAACAAGGATGAGGACTTATCTATTTTATTAAACACGTCGGCGTGTCTATTCTTAACTATCCAGTGGGGTTACTCTATCACTCCCCTCACTGGCGAGAAAGTTCCTCGAGACATAAAATTACCACGTCTAATGTGTATGACGTGTAGAATTTAACTCCCTGAAATCCCTTTGTATCTCTAAAATTCCCACGCTGGTTTTAACCAATCAAAAACGACTTCCTCTGTTTTGTCTACCATCTGACCTTTAAGGCCAGCCTCAAAAAGTTTGAGCCAAAATACACTACCACTAAAAAAATATTATGAAATAGACATTCAGGCCGGTAAATATTGTGTTTATTATAAACAGAGCATTTAGTTAAATATTTGTATCAATAAAATAACTTATAAACAATATATATATATATATATATATATATATATATAATCTTGTATACCACTTCGTTCTGGGAGGTCTTTGTTGACGTGGTCGATTGCATAAAGTTCTCTCGCTCGTCTTCTTCCGGACGGGTGTTGAAATGATTTTGGTGTCCGGATATGAAAGAAAAATGGATATTAAACAAAATGGATATTAAACAGGAGACAACTGATAACTGACATCCATTAGACATGGCATGTGGAACTAGAACAGTATACACAAGTGAGCGAAATAAAGGGTTCAGTTCGACACTCCAACCACCTGATGAAGGCCCGAGCGTACAACAGCCGAAACGTTGTAATAAATATGGCGACAAAATTGAGGACAATAGCCCGAACAATGTAAATAGTGTACACAATACATCACCTCAGAAATATAGACAGATATTGCTTATTTTTTATTAAATGTTCACCCCGTAGAAAACGTAAGAGCCACTCAAGGTAGAGGGTTAGTAAATGTTTGTAGTATATAGACGTAGGTTAAGGAAGTGTAGATTATAAGCATATGTAAGATAGGTGACTGGACGAGATGGTGAAAAGACAAATTTTCTTCCATTCTGGACCTGGTCTATCACGGCTCTCCACAATTTCCTAACCTTTGTAGCTCTTCGTAAGGGTTGATTTTTTATTATCCCCCCGTAAGTGTTTTGCCATCCATTTACATAAGCTCGGTGATTTTCTAAGCATAGATTAGATTTGGCACAAGGCCGGAAGTATAGAGCACTCACTACTCAGTCGTAATTACTCTAGCAAGACAAGTTTGCTAACCATTACACAACCTCAAGATGGATATCTCAGGCGTAGATTGGATGTGGCACAAGGCCAAAACTATAGGGCACCCAGTGAGGATCGAACGCACTACTCGTAATTTTTATAGGGAGACAGGCTTTTTACCCATTGCTCCACGTCAAGGTGTCCCATTTACTCAAATTCGTTAGGTAAGTTATTCACTACCTTCCTCTATCCCACTTGCCCTCAGTACGCCCTGTGAGTGTCAGATTTTCCACGCCTTTCGCCTTAAAAGCTTTTCCCCATTGACTGGACATACTGAAGGCAAGAGGGATGGACGAAGGCAGCTTATAGCCTATCTAAGAAGTTTGCGTAAATGGATTCTAAAATGTGACTGGGCGAGAAGGCGAAAAAATAAACTTTACGAAGACCTTTTTTTTAAGGCAATTCACTCCAAACAAGGCGGGAGTGCCACTAGCACGCAAGAGGTTGAAGAGGATTGAGAACAAGAGTCAAAAGGAGTGTTTGATGAAAGGATACAGAGACGGACGGGGAACAAGCTCGGGGTGTCAGATGTCGATTGATATTACATTTGAATAGTGTTTATAGTCATCGGGGAAGCAAATAAGGGGAAGGGAGTTCCACAGATGGGAAGGGCGGGAGAAGAAGCTGTTTGAGAAGAAGAGACGGTTACATTTAACCATTTTGACAGTGAAAGGGCGGGACCGAGATGCCAGCCTGGTAGTTCTCTTAATAGAAAGTTGTCGAAAGCCATGACCACCGACATCTTGAAAGTACACGTCACATTAAAGTAGTAGTAGTTGTCTCTGTTTTCATTTGAACTTAGTTTGTCACAAGGCCTCAAGAAAGGAGAACCTAATGTCGGCTGAACACATTACTAATGAACAAGAATTACCCGACAACAAGGCGCCAACCGACTGTGAATTCTTCAAGTATATATCTTTTCGGAATCGAAAAATCGTTTCTTCCCGGATTAATTTGCATTTTAAGTATTAGTGATTTGAATATGAAAACCATTGGGGATAAAAACAAAAATGTCCGCCATATCAGAATATCTGTATTATTAAGAAAGTGATTTTCAATACAATTATAAAGTATAGAGATTTTTTTAACGGAGACCAAAGAAAGAATTTTAAATGCGAAAAGGAATTTTATTCTCTTATCACGTCTTTTTGCTTAACTTTTTTTTTTTTACAAAGTTTTCACCAATTCAAGGCCTAGGAGCCACACAAGTCTGAGGGCTACTAATTGTTGTATAAATGAAGGATATATAGGATGGATAATGGTTGGCTCCAGACTTAAAGTTGTAAAATATTGTAGTGATTGAAGAAACATCCCCTCGGGAGTCTGTTCCATTAAATTGCACCTCTTAGGTAGAAGCTGTTCGGATGGAATTTCTTTCTTGTCAATGGAACACGATAAAAATAAAGATGCACTCCTTCTGTCTATACGGCATGACGTATGTTCACGTGACCGAGTGGTTAGATCGTTCGATTTACGACGGGGTTCGATTCTCACCAACGGCCCCCAATGTTTAAATAAAATGCCATCTATATCTATAATTCTCAAAATGTGTGTGTGTATGTATGTGCGTGATTGGATGTTGTTTATGCGTTTCCAGAGTTTTCAACAGATTTCGATGAAATTTTTCTTGTTTGATAGATAATTCCTCAGTGCAGGATTTGAGTTCAAATTGTTGACGACAATGGCTCTCCACTATTTCTTGTCTATTCTAACTCTCAGCAACGTTTTACTATTTACTGTCTGTTCTTGGATATATATCTTTCATAAAAAAAACTTTAATAAAAATAAATAGTTTCACTTATTACAATAATATTATTTATTATTATAGAGCCCTCTTTTCAGGGCCACCCCAACTATTTAAATTGTTACCCCCCCACCTATTTGAAGATGTGCCTCAGTTGCACTCAAATGTTGTTACTAATATTGATTTTCGGGTGGGCTGATATTAAACTTAAACAGCTCCAGTTGAACGGCAAATATCCTTAACTAGCAGCATGACCCGGCGTTGCCCGTGCTTGATTCAAAAATAGTACGACTCGTACAGCAATCGCTATCACTTGACTTAAAATATTTTTGCCCTTCCTTGCCATTAGAGGAGTGCCCTTTGCCGTGCTGATGTTGTTACATGCCTTACTTCTTGCCTATCTCACACTGCCAACTTTTTCTAAGTTCTATAGTAAACATTAAATCTGTTACGAAAAAAAGAACTAAACAAAATAAACACAATACGATCAGCTTTAAAAAACCGGAAAAAATATTTTTAAGGGTTGACCGATTGTCGATTTGCACTCTGTTTTTTTTGGGGGGCGCTCAGAGATCGAAACTTCACATGATGACACCCAATGGCCTCTTCATAAATCCGCTCGGTTTTCGCTAAAAACCGACATGCGGTTCAGGCGCAATCTGGGCGTATCGGTTTTTGGATTTTATCGATTTACCGCGCTGTTTAGGGGTCCGTGGTCATGAAACTTCTGGGCAACACTTCTAATGGCAGACTCTAAGAGGGTGTCAAATTTGGTTGAAATGCAATCATTCCTTCTGTAAGCAGAATTTTTTCGATTATCGATTTTTTCGGAACCTGATTCCGAACTCAAAAATCGAGCTCAACTTACGGCAGCCATT